GAAGAAAGAAGCTGCATGACCATCACTTGGGCTCACACTCCTACGCCAATCTGGAGGATGTTTATTGTCAAGATACGGTATATGTCATTTAAAGATTTAAAAGATCTTAATGTTTAGTATGATTATGAAATCTCATAATTTATAATATGACAGGAGAAATCATTAATGCCGATACACCTGAGGGCCAGAGCGGCATATGGTACTTTTCGTGAACAATATAGGGGTGATGAGAGGAATCGGGATAAGATCATGGCAAATCTCAAGTTAGTGGTGAGACTTATACATATCTTTAGTAGTATTATTAATTCTATTTTGTTAACATTACGAGGAAACGAGAACACAAATAATATGGTCATTATCTTGAATTAACTATAAATATGTGATTTAGGAGGGATTTGAGACTGCATCCAAGGAGGCTGCATCTGTGTACATTTCGCAGGAGGAGGAACAAACCGAGCCAGACCCTCACATGCTTTCTGCAGAGGAGAACATCAATCTCACACAGAACCTGATGGGTCATAATAGGTAAGGATGGTGAAAAATCGAATCAATTTGAATACTACATACTATTTATATTTGTTTACCATTATTGAATTTGAGAGCAAAGTTTAATATTTATTTCTCCCTAATAATAGGAGAGGAAGATATCCTCTGCATGGTGTCGGAGCTTCACCTGGTATAAGCATCAGATCGTCCACAGCATCCTCCACACCATCTACATCGACGAGAGCAGCCACAAGCAGTTTCCAGGCTATGCCATTTGTCGCACGTATCTCTGCCTTCTTGATTGACAAAATTGACCCGGAGCTGCATATTCAGGTGACTAATGAGATGACTAGAGTTGCGCTGACGGCGAACTCGATGGACGATCTCATGGGGTATGTTATACAATATTTAGGTGGTGCTATTTCTTATAGCGCGTATGGTGGTGTCATACGGATCATTAGCTCGATTGGCGATAATTCCTGCGCTAGACAGAGTAGTGCTCAGGTACCTTATTTTTTCTTATATTTATAAATTCATTTTTATCTAATATGTTATCAAACACCACATAATGATTATTCAATTAAACATTCAGAGTGGAGATATTGGAGGGAGCAGCACCCGTTCTCGTAATCGGGATAGAGATACCCCCGCCGACGACGATGGATGAGGTTTTTTTATTTTTAATGCAATAAACAGTTTTATTTGTTATAACACTACATTTATTCATGTCGTGTATCATATCTTAGTCACTGGCATTGTTAGTGTATATGTTGTTGGATGTGTTTTAGACGGAACTAATTGATGTATATTTTGAAGTGGATGGTTGGATTTGTACAATGTGTTGGATTTGGTTATATAGATGTTTTTGAATGGAATTGTTATGAATTTTGATTATGATTGGATGGTTGAATGTGGCGTGTACAGTATTTTCTGGATGTATTCAAATATTAATGTAATTGTACAGGGAAATACAAATTTTAATTAATTTTTCCCTGCAAAAAGGCAATCTAGACGAAATTTCGTCTAGATTGAGTCAACCTAGACGGAATTTCCGTCTAGGTTGTAAAAAACCAACCTAGACGGAAATTCCGTCTAGGTTAACAGACCAGACGGAATTCCGTCTGGTCTGTCAACCTAGACGGAATTTTTATTCCGTCTAGGTTTGTCAACCTAGACGGAATTTTTATTCCGTCTGGTTTGTCAACCTAGATGGAATTTTTATTCCATCTAGGTTAACTTCCGTCTAGATTGATCAATCTAGACGGAATTTCAATCAACCTAGACGGAAATTTCCGTCTAGGTTGATCGTTTTTCTACTAGTGATTATTATTTACCTTTTTCCATACTAATTTATGTACATAACAAGTACAAAGACATTAGCATTTTACAAATGCTTTAACTAATATATTTTTCTACATCAAATCAAGCCTTTTTCCACACTAATTTATATATAATAAACCTATCAGAAGTATTAATATTGTCCATATGCTTAACCTCTTATTTTTTGACTTTTCCTACAGTAATTTATCAATAATAAAAAAACAAAAAATATTTGTATTCATAAGCTAAAAAAGAATTTTGTGAACCAAATGCTTAAATCATTTTTTCTTCATTCACACTAAATTTTTTATAATAAAACTCCCAAAAATATTTCTATACATAGACTAAAAAATAATTTTCTAAGCAAAATGTTTAACGGCTTGTTCACACAAATGCCACGGCAACGCGCGAGTCAATGGCTTCTTCACACAAATGTTCTTCACACATGTAAAACCCTAAAATTTTGAATATTATGTGAAAAATAAAAATAAATATGTTATATGGTAAAAAATAACATATTTTGATGTTTTAGTATGATAGGAATTGATTTGAGATCAATTCAATGTATATTTGTGAATATATGAGTGCAAATGCACAAAACATGCACGAAGAGAAATCTGAAAAAATGACCAGTTAAGAGTTTATATGTTTTACATACCGATACAGTTTGAATCTAGAAAACTTAAAAGATCAAAGTTGTAGGTCTCTTCAACATATTTCCAACAAATCTTATATCACCTCATTCCAAAGTCGGATGAGAAAGTTACAGCTAAAATACAGGTTAATTTCTCAGTCAAACTAGGTTTTCTGGTTCGGGTCAAACGGGTTTATTTCGGGTTTGCATATATATATATATATATCCATTAAGGCGACGGGGTAATCTCTTACTGTTCATTTCAGAGGCTTGTACACTTGCAAATGCAAGATCACCTGTCCAAACCTTACCCTAAAAATAAAGTTTTTAAGTGATATTTGTAATTAATATTGTGTTTAGGGTTAATCTAACGTGTTAGAATCAAGTTTATGATGTTTAAACCTTAAATCAAGCTATTAACAATAGATCTTTTTTCTGTAATTTGATTAGCACGTGATCATGATCACTAGGGATGTTTTAACTTTTTAATCTATGGTTTTAATTTGGTTTTATGCACCAATTGTCGAGATAAACATGAAATTTGGATTAATTAAGTGTTAAACCCTAGATTCATGCATGTATGCGATATAACTTGTTTATCTAAAGCTCTGGTTAAGTTTCAGGAGCTTTTAAATTAAGTTTATGCATAAAAAATGAAGTTTTTAAAGAAAATCGAGCAAAAACCCTAACCTGGAAAATCATGTCGGTTCAGTCGACTGATGTTACCATCAATCGACTAACGGGGAGGTCATCAGTCGACTGATAGCAATCATCAGTCAACTGACGGGCTGTGTGTGCCTTACTATTAGCGAATGATCCTATCAGTCGACCAATGGGTTTATCGGTCGACTGATCAGGTTGAATTTTGTGTGTTTGAACCTTTTTGCGTACGGGTTCGTTTGGTGCGTGTTTTGTGCAAGTCTTGAGCCAATATTCACGCGTGGTTCAAGGAGTACGCGTACGGGGTTCAAGTGCGCATGATCACATCATTTGGGTTGTCCAAATAGGTTACAATCGTTAGGAGTAACGACGATTATAGTATATACATTCTATTTATGAACGGTTTGGTGGGGTTTAGTCGCGTCCCGCAATGAGACCGCGGATGAACTATACTCTGAGTGCTTTAGTCGGGCCCTGCAATGCGACCGCAGATGAACTACACTCCTTATCGGTCCGCACGGAGATACGCAGAGGTTGATATACATATCTATCAGTCTGCATGAGATGCGCAGAGGTTGACATATCTAACTATCGGTCCGCATGGTTATGCGATGAGTTGTTATACTTAGTTATAGGTCCGCACGGGAGTGCGATGAATTGACATACTTAGTTATCGGTCCGCACGGGAGTGCGGTGAATATATATATCTAGTTATTGGTCCGCACGGCAGTGCGATGAATTGACATATTTATTTACCGGTCCGCACGAGGGTGCGATGAGTTGAAGAATTCCAGAGAAGGACGATATGATAAATAACCTGAGTGTATGTGAATATTGGCATCATCGATATGATTCATTGTGAAGGTATTTCACAACTTAGATACACGAGATAGTGTATCGTTATCTGTTTTACCTACTAAGGATAGTATGTGGAGTTGATACGATATTTTCAGAGATGTTTGATGTGGTATTTTTCTGTATTATCTTCCTTGTATTTATTTATTTCTTAGTTTTGGAGTTAATATTTAGTGATTCATAATTTGAGACATATGGTATATATATGAGGGTTTCTTGTTTGGATTATTTCGTTCGACGTACCAGTCTCATGTTGTGAGTTTCTAAGTATTAACCCCGGTTGAGTACAGGATAAATGAACTAGGTAAACTATACACTTATAGGTAGAGCCTCCATCATACCTAGTAGCACTTCCCCTGGGGGTGGATGGAGATGATCTTGCTAGCGGTCTGACGTTGTGGTTTTCACTTCTTTTCAGGCAGCGGAGCAGAGTTTCGGAGAGCCACAGGTTGACGGATTTTCAGCATAGTCGTTGTCATGTATGTTTAGTAGTTCTACTCTACAGATGTTTAGTTTATATTTCTAGTTGATATTTAGACTTGCATTACATTTTGAGAGCTGAGAGAGAGGTTATGTACATTTCAGTTAACTCTTGTAGTTAAGATTTTGGATCATTTATTTCAGATTGTTGGACATATTTTCTTTTATATCTGTTAAGACCTGATTATTTGGAGATTTATCATATATTTTTGTGTTCTATTTCTTGTCTTCATCTCTTTTATATCTGTTTGTACATGTACTATCTTATTTGATTCCACTAGAAGAATATTTCTGTGATGGTAAAACATGTTATTGCACAATATAAGTACATGACAGGTTTGACATCCTTAATTTTACCTTGGACTGCAACCTTACGTAAACCCGAAGACGTCGCAACACAACTGCCACAGCAACACGCGACTCGACAAGCGACTCAATTTTGCTCCTTCATATCAAAAGCTTCCAAGAAAAATATGAAAACCGGAGAACATTTTCTTCTCGTCCCTTGCAGAGAAACATGTTTACATTTCACCAACTCATTTATATCTTCCTGATTCATAAAGATGGGTTCCAAACTTCAATTTTCATAAATATTATACATCGAAGTCTGCTTTAGTTACAAATATCCTCCACTAGTAATCTCTACTTGACACGCATCATCATTCATCGCTGACACCTGCCAAAACGAGCTCTTCACCCGACCATATAGAAATAAAAGAATTTGTCGAATAGCTTCATCCTTCATCGTGGTACATTTGAGGCAAGACCTCCTCAGATTACATATACCAGTAATTTGTCAAATTATGAAACGTACTACCTAACAGTTCAAAGTCCATATAACGCACCAGTAACAAAACCACTTCAGTACCAATCAATAAAACCTAATGTGACCCCAACAATTACTCATCAAACTAAAGCTGCTTCCACACAATAGAAAGAAACAGAGAAAGACAAACACAGTGGAGTTTCTTTTGCAAGCAATTTTCGTCATCATGGTTGGTAATCAGTCTGCAGCTTAAAGTATAAATCCTTCAACAATATCATCGATCCCCTTCTCCTTACTATTCCAGCTCGCGAGCACCAGCAATATAGGAGATATTAAAGATCCTATTAAAGATCATTCGACGTGCTGGCTAGGGTCAGCAGCAGATACAGCAGGGGCGCTTCCCGGGGGTACCATGGGCATCGCCGGAGCTGACAAAGGTACTACATCAAACCCAGAAGGTCTTCGAGCCCTTTGAGGCCTATCAAGGCTCCGACTCCTGCTCCTGCTCCTGCTCCTGCTTCGGGACCAACTCCTGCTCCTGCTCCTGCTCCTGCTATCATCACTACTATCATATCCCCATGTACGAACTCTATCAGGACTTCTACTATAACTCCGGCCTCTTCTCTCTACAGGTCTCCGGGCGCATCAAACCGGCGCGCCGCAGTTCGCCGAATGAAAAGACCACTCATCTCCCGATCTTGCCACGCGCCCGGCCTCCGCTATCAAACCCACGGCCGCCTGTTTCCACGACCGCACACTTCCAAAGTCACTTCTACAGCGTCCACCAATCCACCAACCAATCCCTTGATGCTCTCGACACCAACCAGAGTTCGCCTCAATGCCCCGCAGCCACCGAAGTCATTCTGGCCCCCGAATGCCAGCGGCTTGAACCCGCCAGCGGCCGCCGGCAAAGGATAGGAGGAACGGCTCGAAGCATGTACACGGACCTGAGGAGGGACACGCTGGTTTGCGCCTTCGAGGATTTTGATCAATTCAGCTGCATGCTTCCAATCTTGATCGGAGATGAATGTGTATGCTATTCCCGTGGCTCCAGCTCTTCCAGTACGTCCAATTCGGTGCACATAGTCTTCGATGCCGGTCGGGAAATCGTAGTTGATCACAACCCTAGAACATGAAGATTGAAAATATAATGTCAGAAGATGGAATTTTAAAATATATAACTGCAATGATAGAAATAAAAAAACATTTCTGAATGGTGTTTGCTTCCAACAGAAGACAAGTGCAAAAACAAACCGGAAAATGTTCCTCCAAAAACATTACTGCCCCTTTCCTCCTTTTCCAAGTCTTTTTTAATTAAAGAAATACAAAAGTTATTCATCAGAGAAAACATGCCAAAGCAACCAGCTTTGAGAAAATGAGTAAACATTTAAGTACTATTAGTATCATTGTAAGCATGTGATGAGCTAAAACTAAACTATTTTGTTGCGGAGAACGGGGAAAAAAGAGCTCCAGCTATACTACTTCCCTATCGAGTAACATCCCATCTGAAAGTGGGAAGGAAAAAAGGAAGGGTTAAATTCAAAACCCCCTGACCGTTTAACACTGCTCTCACCAGACCACCCTACATGCAATTACAAATTAATAAAATGTCCTTGAAAGAATTAAAAAAAACTTCACTTGAGGGGGTATGTTACCTGTAAATGGTAAATGACTAGATTGGATTTGTTTTCTACCAAGAAAGTTTCAGTTATTTGTGTCAATTACAGATACGGGCGGTCCAATGAGAAGTGCAAAATTCAAGGGGGGTCTTGTGAAACACCCCAAAGATCATGGGGTTTATGTGAGATAAAAAAGAGTCATGAGGTATGTGCAAAACCACCCAACGCACAGAGGGATTTTGTGAAATTAACTCAAAAAAGAACCGTCACTCTGTGTCTTCTCTTTTGAGCTGTCACTCCTTTCCGATCATTTCAATTAATCTCATACCCTAGCTTGGATGAATAAAATGGGCATAAACGAATAAAATGAACATAAAAAGTTCAGATAGCCCTAGAGCTTCTATATATTGGCACTGTAACGAGCCAGAGACCTGACTTCCACCAATTTATAGAAATCCATTTAAGCATTTTCTTCTTTTATCACAATAGATTTCTGATTCAGCATCGTCGAGAAGAAATGCTGACCTGATATCTTTAATGTCAAGCCCTCGGGCAGCAACATCAGTAGCTACTAAAATCGGTGCTTTGCCACAACGAAACTGGTTCAGGACATAATCCCTTTCACCCTGAGACTTGTCTCCGTGAATAGCAGCAGCGCCATAACCACGCATAGAGCGAGCAAGCTGGTCACAGAGCCTCTTTGTCGAACAGAAGATGATAATCTTTGATCCACGCTCTTGAGTTCTAAGAATCTGCTCCAACCGTCTCTGTTTCTCCATCGGCAAAACAATCTCCACATGCTGTCCATAAAAACAGTAATAAGAATAGAAAAGAGGAAGAAAATCCAGATCAGATTTATTGACATGCAAATAAAGAGGAAGACATCCAGATTACATTTATCACCTTGCACACAGAAAACAGAATTACTTTGATACAGAGCAAATTCTGAGATGTTAACACATAATAATCACAAAAACACAGAAAAGAATTCTGAAGGCTATAAGGTTAGAACAGCAGCACAATATCTAAGCTAAAGCCGTCAGTAAGTAATTGACAGATGCAGATTTTAGTGAGCAGACAATGTATCGAGACTAAGGTCAAATCTGCATGTAAAATGGCTGATAACTTTCCCAACTATTATTGCCTCGTGTCCCACAAAGAGCAAGAAAATGTTACTAAGCATGCATGACTCTAAGCTGCTGGATAGACAAAATTGGATTTCTTTTAGGGGCGAAAAAGAAGGAACTACCAATAAGGTCCATTCTAGCTGTAGACAAACATAAGAAATATATTACTAACCATATATCCTTCTAAAGCTTGTAGACAAACATAAGAAATATATTACTAACCATATATCCTTCTAAAGCTTAAACTTCAAATCAAATTCAACAATTCATATTTTAAGAAACCTAACATAACCATATATCCTTCTAAAGCTTAAACTTCAAATCAAATTCAACAATTCATATTTTAAGAAACCTAACATGTTTAGCAACTATAAAAACGATATATGTATGATGAAGAAATATGGTAACATACAGCACACATCTAATCATTCATCATGGTTAAACTTTATATGTGGTTTTTTTTAAATAGTCTTTTCATAAAAATAATTGCAGACAGTCTTCAACAATTAGATAAGAGCAGAAATACACATCTACATAAGAAAGTCACACATTCAAGACCCAGAGGGACTGCGTTTCATTCGTACAAAATGCTTGATGCCTAATCTAGTGAACAAACCTTTCCAAGGAAAATAACAAAGAAATAACTTGCCTAATCCTAGCATATGAAAAAAAGGAAAAAGAAAAAAAAAACAGCCTGATTTAGGCTTACCTGTGTGATTGCTTTGTTTGCAGAAAGTTCCTCATTCCCAATGTTAACCTGGACAGGATTTACTAGTAGATCTCCAGCTATTTTTCTCACCTCCTTCGGCCAAGTTGCTGTGTACATAAGAGTCTGCCTGCGTGGAGGAATCTCTCTAACAATGCTACGAATTTGAGGTTCGAACCCCATGTCAAGCATTCGGTCTGCTTCATCAAGAACAAGAAAGGAGACTTGACTAAAATTGATCTTCTTCATCTCAAGTATGTCATTGAGCCGACCAGGCGTAGCCACAACAATATCGACACCCCTCTCGATCTCCCTGAGCTGAGGGCCCTTTGGAGCACCTCCATACAGACACTGGTGTAGAAAATATATGCACATGGGCAGTATCAAAAAGAAAGTACTAGAAGACTAAATTCAATGTGTAATACAAGACTTATTCTGACAATTTGACTGATTTGCAGTTCCATACATGCAAATAATATTCAGTTAAAGATAACTTGTGCTTATGGTTTTTTTTATGAAGGGGGGAGAGGGTTGACAATCACTGGAAAGGAACTGAAAAGAGCAATTAAAAAGAAACATAATAACAAGAACTTACAGTGCAAGAGATCCTTGATGAGCGACCAAATTTGATTGCCTCATCTTGAATCTGGGTGGCAAGTTCCCGAGTTGGAGATAGAACCAACACAGTTGGACCAATTTGAGGATTATTTCGACATTGCTTTAAATGAACAAATGCTGGAAGAAGATAACCCAAGGTTTTCCCAGAGCCAGTTTTGGCTATGGCCACAATATCCCTGCTTTGTAGTGCGATGGGCCATGTTTGCGCTTGTATCGGAGTGGGAGCCGAGAATCCAGCAGCACGTATCTAGAAATGAAAAGTTAAACATAAGGCCACATAGGACGTAGATATAGTATGATATCTGAAAAGAGTATTAAAGTTTTTTTAACGAATATGAACAATTATGTCATTGCTTTGAATGTTATACTGAAAAGAAAAGAACCCCATAAGGACACGGTTGCTTACTGAAGCAACTCGATGCAGAAGGGGCATTTCAGACCAAGTGGCAGAGACATGAAGGAAGGCCCAGCCACTTTTGAGTAACTAACCCTCTCCAAAATCGTCTACAGGAAGGACTCCAACTATATGATTGCAGCCTTCAAGGACAAACCAATTGCTGTATACTGGGGTTGTTTAGCAGCACAGCATACGACATATGCTCTTCTCTCGAGCAAATATCGCATCTGGGATAATGGTAACAGAAATAAATTCAGACCATTGCCAATAAATAAGAAGGGCCATTTAACTGGATTTATATTTTTCCTTTTTGCAGAAATGGAAGATGGAATATAATATTCATCCACATGAATTAAAAGACAGCTTCGGGTTCGAAAACTTACCTCTCTGAGAAGCTCTGGAGCAAAAGCAGTAGCCTCAAAGGTCATGAATGGAGCAGGAATATTATCACCCTAGAAAATTCATTTAAAATTAACAGTGTATAGGAACAAATATCAAACATAGCATAAAAATTACTAGACTTAAAAAATAAAAATAAAGCAAACTTCATTCCTTATTCATCATAACACAATAAAATATAAGTATCATTAAAGAGGAGTACTACTTGTGAACAATTAGCAGCTCCATAAAACTCCATTAGTTGTAATCATGGGCATAGAAAAGACCGTCCTCATAGTAGATAATATAGACCCAAAATACTACTTGTGAACAATTAGCAGCTACATAAAACTCCACTGGGTTATAATCACTGGCATAAAAAAGAAAGCCATGTGTGCCTTGAAGTTGAGATATACAGATGAGCACAAATTTAAAAGGGACAAAAAACATGTTTCCCAATCTTGTCAACAAAAAAAAGCCAAGTCCAAAAAAGAAAATATCAATAGAACTGTAAGCTGATCGAGCTGAATGTGAACAATGTCACTACAAAGGTATCTTATTCTAACTCCTATTCCTACCATGTAAATTAACCTCTTGTGCTCGCTGGACCGTACATGGGTCATCCATGTTGGCGTCCCCTTCATGCAACATATAACCTATCAAATTACATAGTGGCCCAAAATAGAACTTCATGTCTTTTGATGTTAAATACCCTACAAGCTTTAGAACATTTTATAGAGGGCAGATAAAGATAAGGATCACTAAAGAGGGTTGTAGGTCATGAAATTTAACTGGTGGAACAGATGTCAAGTTTCTTGGTGGAAAACAATTCAGAGCATAACCAACAATTAGCGACTAGGGAATTTGTAAAATCTGTTGAGGCAATATGAATAAATTACCGTAACAGTAATCTCATGATGCTGGCAATAGGAATCAGCAGATGGAGCATTAGTGAAATCTGCAGAGCCAAACATTTTTTGGGAGGGTCCCATGTGAGCTAGAGCAAACCCCGCATGATCGCGGCCAGCAGCACCCATTCTGATACCCTGATGCCAATAACAGTATATTTTGTCAATTGTCTATATAAGAAAACTGAACATAACATATTGGAAGTATCTTAAAGGTCGAGTGTTCGTTGTTAAGAAAATCAAAAAACCGCAGCCATATGTCATCCCTAGGATCTCATAGTAAAAAGGAGACATAAATTTGAGTAGAAATAACCAAATAGAAAACAAAAGATATGTTCTTGTTATTTCAGACTGGCTTGGGTAGTTTAAATTCGGTTGAGCAGCTACTAATTAATACATCCATTTAACAATTCCACACATTCCAAGATTTTGAATTTCAAGTTAAAATCTTCAACTGTCTATATAAGAAAATTGAACATAACATAATGGAAGTATTTTAAAGATTGTTCATCGTTAAGAAAATCAGGAAACCCCAACCATATGGCACCCCTAGAATCTCATGGTGAAAAGAAGATACAATTTTGAGCGCCTACAATAACCGAATAGAAAACAAAAGATGTGCTCTTGTTATTTCGGACTGGATTGGACAGTTCAAATTTGGTTGAGCACTTACAATAATACATCCATTTAACACTTCCAAACATTCCAATATTTTAAGGGCTTGTTTGGATTCGTAGGGGGTGAAGGGAAGTTAAGGGAAACTGAGTGAAGGGAAGGGAAGGGAAGGGAAGGGAATTCCCTTCCCCTTGGTTACACCCCAATTTGGGGGGTAACAATTTTTATACTATTAGGGGGTGAACCAAGGTGAATGGAGGTGAATTAACTTCATCTCCCAAGTGTTCCCAAACAAGGTGAATGGAGGTGAATGGTTCCCCTAACTTCCCTTCACCCTCATTCCCCTCAATCCAAACAAGCCCTAAGTTTCAAGTTAACAACACGTTAAAAAAAGCTAAAAGCTTGCATGTTGTTAAATGGTGATTTCACCTAATGACATATTATCACATTTACTATTTCCCAGCATGATAACAAGTATATTCCAGAGACAAACACATGCAGATCCTAATTAATTTGACAAAATGATGCTGCAGAGTATACATAGAAAATATGCATTCTATTAAACAGATGAACATAAGCAGTGATCTGTAGCACATGTACATTCAGATTTAACTTGATAATAGGAAGTACTGCAGATTAAAAAATGCAAATTTGTAGTCACCTGTTGGTTTCCTGCATGAGGGAAGCCTCCATGCTGTTGTTGATGTGGGAGCATCACAGGCCCTTCATTACCACTAGATGGGTAAAAGTCATTATTCCCTCTTCCACTGTGCTCGTCATTGTATCCCAATTTTGGCCCCATGAGCGGTTGATTCATTGCATTTCCATTTTGCTTAGAAACTGTGGGGCCACCAAGTGGCTGTTGTCCATAGGTCGCATCTGTCCTCACCTGCTGCAACTCGCTATAAGCACCACCCGTGCCAGTAGATGATGGTCTGCCAATATACTGTCCTGGGCCAATTGAATAATCTGCAGCCCCAGGAATATGAGGAGCTGGGCCTGGAAATTGACGATCACCTGATGCCCCATTACTCTGTTGGATAGGCGGTGCAGTAAACCCCACCGGCTCTGGCACTTGTCTCCTTACATCCCTCTCAATTGGAAATCCATTTTGCTGCACTTGGTGATTGCCAGTTGGCAACCCTTGGGGCTGATAGTGAGGCACTGAATGCTCATTTATTTTAGGAAATTGTGTGTGTCCCATATGATTCCCCTGCAAATGTGGATAGTGCTGGGTCGGCTGATCCGGCATATGATGCATCGGCTGACTAGGTGGCTGATTCAGCATATGATGTGTATGTTGACTAGGCTGCTGATGCATGTGCTGCTGCTGACTAGGCAGCTGATGCATGTGCTGCTGCTGACTAGGCTGCTGATGCATGTGTTGCTGTTGGGGCATCTGCCAGCCCAACTCATTCTGACTTGCAGTGTCATTTGGTGCCTGAGAACGAGCTGTAGGGATTGGTGCTAGTTTAGGTGTAGAGGCTGACAGTGGACCCGATGCTGAGGTTGGCGGCAAAGCCACTGGTTTCTCATACTGGGTGACATTTGTCTCTGGATTCCAGTAGTACAAAGCACCAGTGCTGTTATCAATCAATCCTGTCCAAGGCTTCGGAAGGCTTGGATCTTCAGGCGCATAGGAAGGGGCAACTTCTGCTGTAGCCATACTGATACGGGATGACTGTTTCGGCTGCTAAACTTTGTTGTATGTTATCCACCTACCTAAATGCCATAATCCAGTAAATATCAGGGGAAGTCCAGATAAAGGAAACAATTTAACAGGTACATTTAGCAACCAATTACATCCAAACCAATGTTATTGGGATCATGTTTAATATATTACTCATGGGACATTTATAAATGGTAAAAACACAGCTAAAATGCAAACTACGATGTGATTTTCAGTAAAATATAAAGTTATTATGATTTATTTCAAAAGGAAGAGAAAAAACAATGCAAGTGTGTTCTGTATTAGGACAATATGATATGAGACCAGAACAATTGATAACTACTGTAACAATAACCCAGAAAACCAAATTTATCAAAAATAAATAAATATATGATACATTACTCATGAACAAGGGGCTAGTTTGGCACAAATTTCATTCTATAAGATGACATTGTTCTAGGCATGCATTGATTTATTTTGATTCATAGATTAAAATACATTGGCATGATAAACTAACAGGCATAAACTCATATTGCTTGCACCTCCAAAAAGATATCCATCTGAAACATTAAATACGTAAAATTGAATTGCAGGAATAGATTGTCTCACCAACTTAAACATTGAGGACCACAGAGAAGCATTGACAGATACGAATCTAAGATCTAGAGAACCGTAAGTTAATTGAAACTTTTAAAGCCTAAATCCAATTTAGTATGTACTGCAGAGTAAAAAAATCCAACTGCCTAAAGTACATAAAAGATATGTCAAACAAACACCAGAAACCAAAAAAAAAGTAAATGAAGATTGTTACAATTTGATCCATTGTAAATGTTAATATATTAATCCCCCAAAAGAAACAACAAATCTCAAATCAGAGTGAAAAAATATCTTGTGCTCAGGCAATAAAGGCACAATACACCTCTTGAGACAGAAATCACAGCTTGACAAAACTATGAAGCTCTAAACAAGTCCACTGTCGATGCGAAAAGGCTGTCTAAAATTGTGTTGATTAGCTCCCAGATGCGGAAAGTAATAATCTGACCAATAATAGGCCATTTGACTACCGGCTTCTTTACTTATGAGGTTGATAGCTCCAGCAATAACATCGCATAAATATGTTGCTTTTGCAAAAAATCTAACTTTGTAACAAAAGTAAACACTCCAAACAAATTTAAGTGCTTCCATACATTGACAGTTACCTAAAAAGGAGGAAATTTATGATCCAACAGAAAGTACAATACATTTCCTCAAACCCTAAAGAGACTCTAAACATTAGTTAACATAATATAGGTCCAAAGTATAAAAAAGAGAAACAATGAAACTACGGTGATCAGATCAAATCGTTAATAAAGCAAAACAAAAGCACCACAGGAGGATAAAGATGTCACAGTTAAATTCACTGTACATCGTCCAATGTTCCCAAATCAAGCTGACCCATAAAATTCGTTCGCGATCGCTAACAAAAGAAGAAGCTTGACAAGAGAAAACTTAAGACCTAGACGAATGCGTACAACAAGGATTTGCATAAATTACATGATTCCACAATCCAAAACCTAAACAAACTCTATCTAAGGGATCCTTACAAAAAATCACCGACAAATTATCTACGTGGTCGATACCGAGTTAGATCTGTCGAATTGATTAGGTCGGTACTTAAACAAAGAAAACGCACGCCGAATCTGCAATCAATCCATAGAAATTTCCGACGAACATCAAACCTTTCGACTGAAACCCTAGAAATCCCCGTCCAAATTAAGGAAAGGGAAGCGAGAGAGAGGGGAGATGATTTACCTTCGATTGAAGGAGGGGAAGGATTAGGGTTAGATTTGGGAAGAACCGAAACGCGCCGACCCTCTTTCCCCTCTTCTCCTGGTAAAAGAGGATGAGAGGAAAATGCGAGCCCTAGCAACCCACGCGTCTACTTTTATAACTTGAGAGAACGCCGTACAGGTGGAGCACGTGACTTGCACGTGTCCAATTGTAAAGATATTTTGGCTATTGTGCTCTTAGGCCCCTGATAATATAATACTTTATATATTACATTTATATTTACTAACTATTGGGACTAGTAGTGTACTTGGCACTGTTCATTCAACACTACGTACAATTCAACCCCAGTAAAAATTAAGTTAAATTATCATACTCCCTTTAAAAGTACGAGTTAAGAAAAATCTTTTTTAGACAAATATACCCCTATAAAGTTTGAACTATCCTATCTATAATCAAATTCTAATTTTTAAATTTAATTTAATGATGAGAAATGATGCTGTTATTTTGGAACTAACTTTAATAATTATCATATCCGATTGACAAATCCTATCAATCCCCGATTAATTACTTTATATATCATATCCATAATATCATATCTGTTCGAAGATAATAAGGCTATTATTCTATATCCTCTACAAGAATCTTCAAAGTTTCCGAAACCCTCCATGTAAACTTTTAATCTACTATCGTGTCATAAGATGAGGTAAAGCTCCCTCACATGCAAGTAATCTTTTGTGAAACTATAGGGACAAAATCCAAAGTTAACAAGCACGGAAAACTTTGAAAAGTTACCTATTAGACCGACCAAATTATATCCATTAACACGCCTCCTTGTTCCTAGATTAATTAATGCTATTAAGTAATACACTAACCCAAGTTAGCAATATTAGCAACCTATTAAATTGCTACCATATATCAAATTTGGCTTCTCACGAAACAGAGGGATAAAATAACCACCTCGCCGAATAAATTTCGCTAACGCGGAAACTTCGGAGAGCCATCTTATTTCACCGACCAAATTATATCCATAAACATTAACACAACTCTAATTATGACTATTATCCTATCACATACAATATCTCATGCCTATATATAAACCAATAAATTACACAATTTTCATACTATCTTCAACTCCTTCAACATGTATGTTTCTTTTTTATATATTTTTATTTTTATTTTCATGATTTCATGATTAATCTTTAAAAATATTGTGTATTTTATTTAATGGTGATATTTGTTTAACACTGCAATTACTTTTTATGGCAATTGATATTATTTTAAAATTTGTTCAATTTTCATGCAGAATTTAGAGGATTAAAGATTTGATTGTGTTCTCCCATCTATCAAGGTAAATCTTCATGTACAATTAGGTATTGTTTCTTAATTGAAATTTTACATAATCACTTTTACATAATTTTTAAGTTCAAAATATTTATGGAAGGTGGCTAATGGTAATTCTATTTGGTGATAGCATGGAAATTGGTGAAACCTTTATTCTAATTCTAAAGCCACAATCATGACCTGATGTATGCTCAACTCCACCGGATCCTTTCTTGTTTTCGGTACGATGTATTTTGAATTTTCTTGCTACTTAAGTCATGGATTTGAAGTCACATAGGATTTTCTAAGTCAAAAAATATTTAAAATAACTTGAATTTTTAAAATATTTTCTACATTACTATAACTAAAATTCATGCTAACAATTACAATATGCCAGATATGTATATTCATCCAAATTTAGCTTAAATTCCTTTACATTTAATTTTTTTAATATTTAAATAAAATACTAATAAATCTTATAATTCAATAATACATATTTGAACTCAAGATAAATCTTACTTATTTAAAGTAATGAAATAAATATAAAATAATATTTTTTTAATATTTAACCACGTGCATTGCACGTGCATAAAAACTAGTTTCCCTAAAAACCCAAAGTTTCCCATTACTTTCCTACGTGAACAATGTTTGAAAGTTGAGCAAAACGTAGTCGCGCGGTATGGCTCTTGTATAGGAGAGGTTTTTAGAGGTTCGAATCGCATACCATCATTTTTTTTTTCTCTAATATTTTTAATTTTTTTACCATAAGCCCAAAGTTCACCTCTATTTATTTTATACCCGATGGGATTAACCAGAAACAGTTAGTTCAGAAATAACTGTTCTTGCTCGCTAAGGCTTGGTTTGGTAGGAGTTATGAGGAGGGAATGTGAGGTGAGGTGAGGTGCAATGAAGGATGTACTTTTTGTGCTTCTTGTTTGGTTGAAGGGGAGATAAAGGGAGGTATATACATTTAGTTCAATTTTTAATTTCTCTCACCTTACTATGTGTCTTCCTAACACCTCACTCTTATGTCCCTCTAAAATAGGGAATTTTTCTTTCTCTACAATTATAGTTTATTAGACACTTTCTCTCTCTTCACATTACCTCACACCACCTTACCTTCCTCTCCAAAAATCTTCTATCAAAGAGAAATTCTAACAATTAATTTTTAGAATCGACCACTTACTAAGAGATTTTTTGGCTAGTACATCCAGACTTTTATCCCTATTTATTTTTAGGCCCTACTCACTTCTAAAATCACTTTTACACCCAAAATATTCTATGAGATTATTTTAAAAACTTTATCAATAGCTTAATATACAGTGTAAGATGTCATGCTTTTCCATGCTTTTCTAAATTTTTTAAGAGATTAAGTATATAGCATAATAAAATGTTAATTCTAGGAACACATTTTCAATATCACCGGTTTAGGTTTGGTATCAACTATCAAGTGTAAGTTAATATTTGTGCTTTGTTTATTTATTTATTTTGTAGGTTAGGTATGTGGTGTTATTAAACCAAATGCTTAAATTATTTTTTAGCTTTATCTTACAACAATTAATGTCCACATCAATTCGCCAATCAATTCTAATTGTTATATTGAAAATCAAGTGAGCACAACTAAAAAGGAGCATACACATTTATCACAATTTAGTTATAAAAGATAATACTTTATTTAAGGAGTGTTAGTCAATTGGGACATTGTCACGCCCCGCTTCCCAAATTACCCGGGAATCGGAACGTGAACAAGCCCGCGACGTATTAGATTGAGAAGAAATATATACTATCATTTTTTTTCCTTCTCAATCCAATACGCTAAGCGTTTGGAAATAAATACAATGCGAAGTCACAGGTCCCCGATCACAATCAGAAAGAATATAATAGACAACTCAGAATAAATAAATATCATATCACAAATGGAATAACATCCGAGACATAATATTCGGGTCAACATGCCCTTATACAAACTATCTGAATGAAGTACTGGAGAATATAAAATACAATGATCAGGCGAAAAAGGAAATGCTACGAAATAAACTGAAGGAATAACTAAGCTTCGGCTTCTTCTTCTGCTCCATCTATAAGGCACTCCTGCTGAGAATACTCGGCTCTGGCGATCTCCCAGCTGGACCTGTTCTTCCTCTAAGTCTGACGTATACCAAAGAAAACAGGTGTACGTCAGGGTGCATGGCACACGGCAAGACCCCACAAAAGAAAAGAACGAACGAAAACCCAAGCGAAAACGATACGATAACCGAAACGACAAAAGAACGTGCAACTGGTAATCCAACAAAATCAACATGCAATCCACTACCAAAACATGATAATCATAAGAATCCGTAAATCAATCGGGTAACGAAGTCATACGGTTAGCGATCAGAATAATCATTCAAGTCACAAGGTCATACACTAGATGAAATTAATACTTAAAAATCTATAACTCGAGACGTAGTACGTCGAGCGAAATAATCCAAACAAGGAAACCATCATGTATATATCATCTGTCTCAAATTGTAGATAATTAAATATTAACCCCGATCTATGTATGAAAAGAACACAACTGGCCTACATCTCACAAGAATCCATAATCATCTAAATAACGAGGTCATGTAACTAGCCATTCTATAACAAGTTACTGGTCCACATCTCACACAGAGTCAACGCTCATATCACCGGATAACTGACTGTTCACAAATCCCCTACGTGCATCCAAACCCGCGAAACGGTTCGATGAGAGGACTACACGCAATCCGATTTTGGCCTGGTCCGAACACAAGCAAAACTCGGGTGACGAAACGATTTCACTGACCAAGTGCGAAACGGTTCACTTGGCCCAACAAAGTAACTCCAGTGCGAAACGGTTCACTGGTTCTAGTCTGGAAGATACATCAACAGCCTTATCCGATCACATGAACATTAACTTCCACATCCCAACTCTTCTCATTTTCTCTAATTTATCAAACACACAGGTTTCTAAGTCTTAAACATGACACATCAGGCCACACTAGTCATGAATTTCTAACGGTTCTCAAACATAATAAAGAGTAATAAATGCAACTAATCATATACAACAAGATCATAGCATATCACATAATTAAAATTAAGAAACATAAATCATGAAAAATTCATAATAATCCTTTTTTCTAAAATAAATCCTTTAAAATTATTTATAAATGTTCTAAATTAATTCCTTTTATAAAACTTTCTTAAATTATTAAAATTATTCTAAATTGATACTTATTCTAAAATAAATTCTTTTAAATTGTTTATAATTATTCTAAAATAATTCTTTTGTCAAATAAATTCTATTAATTTATTATAATTACTCTAAAATGATTTTTCACCAAAATAGTAATTATCTTAAATTGATTATTTTGTCATTAAATTCTTTAAAAATCATAAATTAATCTAAAATAATTTTATTTATTTTATCTTTACAGTATCTATTATCACAATATTATTTTTAATATCATTCGTCAAATAAATCCGTGTAGGTCATCACAGTATATGTATTACAACATGAATGATCATACGTTATTGTCCACAGTCCGTTACGTCCACAACAGTTCTATACGTTATAGTTCTCAGTTCAATATGTTCATGACAGTTCTATATTTGTAACGAGTAATTATTCGGGTAACGAGTTCTTATGTATAATTAATCTGTGATCATTCTAAAATTATACTGAGCAAGAATAGGGATCTTACCTCGGTTCGTTGAACGTATCGATGTTGACACGCGAGTCCGGCGGCTGAAGAGGCGTCGGTTAGAGTTGTTGGGTGTTGCCGTCAGCCGGAG